CGTGGGAGATGCTCAAAGGGAGTTGTGAAAAGGTCCGAATCTGTCGTTTGCCAAAGGATCCAGCAGTGGTTGGGGCTCTTACAAAGAAGCGGCCGGGAAGCCCTACTTGGTGGTCTTTCGAGGATACAATCTTTGCTGTATTCCACGCCAAAGCGTGTTACCATCAATGCCCGAAGGACATATCAAGTTGGCCACGTCGCAGTCCGTGGAGAGCGCTGCTTAAAAGTTGCTTTCCAACACAACAAAAAAAAAAAAACGGATTTTATAAACCACCCTTCACAAAACCCAGTGATACTGATGCGGTTGACAGTGTTGTTGCTGCGTGTGGCTGTTTTGTTGTTGACCCGAAATGATAGTGTTTCGAACGATGGGGATGCACGATGAAGGGGTATGTATAAGCGCGGGAATTATTGCGTCTTTATTATTTCTGTATGTTTACTTGATGATGCCAGGTAGCGAATAACTGATCGCACATCATTTTCCGGCTCCCATTGATGTATAACTATTAGATCTAGTTAGTAATGTACTGTACGTGTAGTTATTATTGTCTCCGTCAATCAAGCATAGTTTGTGCGGCTCACAACCGAAGCTGCCTGGTCACTCCACGCTGATGGGACAACAGTTGTCTTGTAACATCGTCCTAACGTTGGCCATGTCCCTTCGGAACTCGTCTACCAGCTTGTTGCCCAATTCTTCCGTTGTCGTGTGCGATGAGCTGCTGTCGCTGTGGCTCCCATTATTGTTTCTTCCAGACGGGAAAAAGTTGATGTCAACGTGTTGTCGTCCGTCCCACCAAATGGCCAAAGCGCCCCGTACAGTCAACGCCACCTGCAGGAATCCATCCCCCACGGCAGACCCCATCACTTTGGCCGACTTTTCGTTGTCGAGCATTGCCACTGCCCGCTCAAACGATTTCCGGAGCTCGGATCGGGTGAGCACAAAGTCAGAAGGGGAGGAATGGTCTGTGGATGTTCCCATGTCTTCTTGACGACGTGAATTGGTCACCTCCAATTGATGAATAATGGCATGGTACCCACCAGTAACAGTTTGGGACGTGGATTGTAGCTTCGAATCATGATTGCACTGAGAAGAAATGCGATCATCAACATCATTATCATCGCTGTGAAAACAGTCGCTATCCAAAATTGATGGACCCTCCATTATATCTTCTTGGTTTGAACAAATGCGGTTCCGAGCCATGAAGCCAAACACCCCTCCAGCCACATGCTGATGGCAAGGCGTCATTTGACTTCCCAAACCCAAGGCATTCTTGACGGCCGGTAGTTGTCCCATATTGTCCCAAAGGTGGACGAAAACTGAAAAGCCGTTGTTGTTGTTGTTGTTGTTGTTGTTGTTGTTGTTGTTGTTGTTGTTGTTGTTGTTGTTGTTGTTGTTGTTGTGGAGGGAGCGTGCGATAATGTATCCTTCTCTCATCATCCAAGCTACCGTTTGCTGACCCTTTGGAAAGGACTTTGTTGTTTCAACCGAAAAGCCGTGGTTTCGAAGGGCTACTGTCACTTCTTGCTGGTAACTGTCCATGTCCCGGAACACCATCATCTCGTCTGTTTCTACTTCCCAAATCATCAACATTCCCGGACTGGTAGTTTGGTTTTCTTCTGCCAAGCTCAGGCATTCCTCCACGTCGCCACCAAAGAAAGCATCGCTTGCTGTTGCCAAGTTGGTAGGAGATAGAGTACACTGGAAACTGTTCTCGTGGGATTCCTCCACATCCCTTCGGCCGGCACTCAGTGTCGCATCGACCACTGACGAGAGCGAGATGTCTGCTTCAAAGCAACAGGCTACACGATACGATAACAACAGAGATCCAAGGCCAAGAGCCCGGTTCAGAAAAGACACCATGGTTCAAGAAGTCTCTTCGTCACTCTCATGAAGAAATGAAAGTGGGAAAATGAAAGTTGATGTTTAAAAATGTACTGGTCTTTTCTGGCGCTGAATACCCCTTATATCTTTCATGCCAGCCGAGGTGAAACCACGACCGGTGTTCATGTGGTCATTTCATTCCACAATCAATACTAATAACTACTGTACTGGTACCCAGTGGTGGGACCGGTAATGGTGTGTGGTGTGTGGGAGGGTTCTTCTCCCCGGCAGTGGGACCAGGAGCGGGGCACGGTGTACTTTTACGGTGCGTTGAGGACCTTTTGTTGGTCCAGGAGTACTGTAGGGCAAGTTGAGGGTCCATTAGTGTTGCGGAAGTAGGTCCAGGGCTAGACTACTGTATTGTAGTTGGTTAGTTGAAAAGTCAAGCAAACTGGCTGTCTAAGAAGCTCTTAGTACCGGTAGTACAGTACAGCAGAGCAGTGACGCCAATCTGCATCCCATCATGTCCTCAGCAAGATGCTTGAGTTGGAGAAAGCGGTGCGTGGTCCTGACTTTACGGAATCCTAGCTAGACAATACATGCAGGTTCCATCCTATCAATGCAAAAGATGATGGGTTGGAGATTCGAAGTCTCAAGTTCAGAGATCGGATTCTACATTACAGTTCTGCTTCTCCTTTTCATTGCTCTACCAGAGTGTGTATCTCACCATTCCACTTTATCGTAATACTTCTAAAATTCGCCTCTCCTTGCATCTTCCAATACGCATGTATAGTTACGCTGTACCTTTTCACAGCATGGACGGGGTCACAATCACTTGAACCTTGCCATCAGACTTTTTCTCAGAAGCCGAATTACTAATGGCCTCTGGCAACTTGTCAAATTCAAACTGGGTTCGGATAGTTGTCTGCATTTCGGGAGTGGCCATCCATTTTTGTAGCTTGCTCATCAATGGCAACATCTGGACAGTCCACAAAGCTTTGGCTTCATCGCCGGCATTGAAGGCTTCAATGCGCTTCTGATAAAGATGGTTGACGTCGATGGTGAGCTTTTTGCTCACAATCTCACTATATATGCTCACGACGGAATGAAGGGGTAATGCCTTTAAAAGACGATCTGGCATATCTCCGGCCAACCCGTCGTAGGCGAAGTGGCAGTTGGTCTCTTGAATGGCCTGGGAGAGTTGTTGGTCAAAATCTGGATCCGATAGGTTCAAAACGACTTTGGCCCCATCGGCTTGGCAGAGATCCTTTTGGGAATCTCGACGGACGAGAGCAATGACATTAATGCCCAGAGACTTGGCGTGTTTGGTAAAGAGCCGCCCCAAGCTACCCGCCCCGACGGTATTGACCACTGCTTTGTGTCCACCCTTTTTGAGATTTTGGACCATGAGCAAAACCGAAAAGGCGTTGGTGACGGCAGCCGCTGCTGTACTATATGAAACTCCGGCTGGGATGGGTGTGACGGTTTGAGCATCGCATACCAGATATTCTGCCAAGGCACATGATTGGTCAGAATAAAAGGCCACACGAGACCCGACCTTCAATCCAAGATAGAACGGAGCTTTACTGGCCACAACTTTGCCCGATCCTTCGAACCCAACACCACGGGGTATTGGTATATCTTTCGTGTTGACGTACGCATTTTTCAAATGCAATATGTCTTCATGATTGATGGTGCAGCAAGCCACTTGGACCAAGATTTGGCCTTCCTTGATAGTCGGAACTTGCTCTTCCTCGAGTGACAGACTCTCTTCAATGGATTTTGCATCTTTCGTGTCTTTCACTTCACTTTTCATACGCCAAACTCGATGCGTTGTTGGTAGGCTTGGGTCTGCCATCGTACTTATTCCAGCTGTATTTTAAGCTTGTCAGATCTGATATTATAACAAATCCCAACAGCCAGGAAGAGTGGCAACAGAAGAAGGAAAAGAAAAATGAGTTCCCAAAGGTGCGAACCCCGATCTTTTTTGAGATCTCGACGGAAGGAGTGACGTCATTTTGTTGGATGGAGCTTTCTCGTGACTGCGCCGTACCGGTACCGGTGGCGGGTGGGACCAATGCTGCTGCAGATCGCAGAACGCAGAAGGAACGGAGATCCAATTTTTGCTCATTTCGTCGACGTCCACCAAACAAGGCATCAAGCCAACAACAAGATGACGCTTTTGTTGATGTCTTCAATTCAAAACAGACGTAAGGTTTCATTGCCTATCGGAGCTTGAAGACTTCAGAAAGCCGAACCATCAGTTCCCTCGTCGCTGCAAACTCGGCTGCAACAACTACTTCACACAACGAAACTCAAGGTACCGTATTGAGACTAGCGCCCAGCAGAGGGTCCACGAAGGCGCAGCAAAGCCACAGAAGCATTTGTCAACTATGGATGGCGTTGAAGACTCCCCAATCAAACAAAAGAGTGTTCTCATGATGAGTACGAAGTCGCCGCACTTCATTCCAGAAGCGTCCCCAAGGTCATCAAAGCAGTACGTGAGACCTCACGCCACACCTTCATTTACGACCTCGATTGATGGTCTTGATAGTTCTTATCGGAGTCAAGGTATGCCGTCGATGAAGGATTCTCATCGCAGAACAACCGTGAAAGCCAAAACGAAGAGGCACGCTGTCCAATCCGCCCATGTTCCAACTCGGCTGGCAACTGATGTGAGGACTGACAACCCAATGGAGGAGCCTACCTTGCTTTGCCCCGGAAGATATGCCTCTCCTATTCACTCGGAATCCTTACGTCGTCCACATTCCCACGTTGAGAATGGTCCAGGTATGGATGTGCCCCCGCAGCAGGTGATCGTGCCATCGTCCAGGCGAAAAAAGAAACTCCACACTACCAACCACCTGAACTTTCATCATGGGGACTTGGATGATGATGGCAATAAGGACAGGGAATCCTTGACAAATTGCATCGACTGGAGGGAGCTAGAACGACACCAGAAGCATTCGAAACGCTGGATGGAAGAAAAGGAATGCTTATTCTCCAACGAATACATACTCCCTGGACCGGAGGCACAGCTGGCCGGCTCCAACAACGCAATACAAACAGCCAATAGCAGCAGTGCACCTCCCACCCAAGTAGGAATGTTCCAAATTCCGGAACCTGCCCCTGATTTGACGCCATTCAATGTGTTTTCCCAAGCTGCGCGGGATACGCACAGGACAAACAACAACACGAGCAACAGCAACGACAACCCTAGTACCGGAGCTGCTGAAGATCCCTACTCCGGGGGACTTGTCATTGAGGCACGAGTTGTCGAGGATGACGACGACGATCGGCACTCATCACGAAAAGTCAGTGGTTTGCGTAGGCAAATGTGCTTTGGGTTTGTTTGCATGTTTGCCTTGCTCGCCATGGGGACTGCTGGGGTCGCCCTGTTGGTGTTGAACCAGTTAAACGTGTCGTCTTCCTTGACTCCAACCGCTACACCCCAACCCACTGGTCTCACGAAGCAGCCAGCGGTCCCTCCCACTCTCACACGAGACCCATCATATGCCCCGTTCACCGCACCTCAAACCCCATGGCCCACCACCTCGCCTCCCACTACAAGGCCTGCAGTTACGCCCCTTACCACTATCTCACCCACGGCAAGATCATCAACCACGACAAATCCAACGCTGAGGCCTACCAACCCACCCACTACCATTGCACCTACTCAATGGCCCACTACCATTGCACCCACAACTATTCCTCCTACTCCTGTTGCTTCTGATGTAAGTGTGGGTCGAAACATGACATTGACAGGAATTGAAATCATGACTGGCAATCACTGGAAAGAACAAGATGAGGAGTACATTTACCCCGCTATTACGATCAATGACGAAGTGTTCCTTCCATCCAGTTGTGCGGCCCGTTGGTGCACCTTGTACAGACTGGTATCCAAAGACTCTGTGAAAACCTATCCTGATTTTGCCGATTGGTATTCTACCACTAATGGTTACTCTGTTGCTGGTACAAGCAAAGGCGTCGAAATGGGAGACATGGAGCTCAAGATATTGGTTTTGAAGAAAACCGAGGATTGGTTGTATCAGACCAACAATGCCAGCCAATTCGTTGAGTACCAGTGGCAGATTAGCGCCTCAGACTGGTTCCGTCCTCAACAGAATTGGATATCGAGCGGTCAGGACCTCAGCAGCAGCGGATCCTTTTACAGGTGGCGATTCGATGTCGTCCAAGTTTGATTTTGGTCGCATGATGGCGGATGCCAGGAGGCTTTAAAAACTAGTGTAGCATGCATTGCAGTGTACCCGTCTGCTGCCTTTGCTGTGTCCAGTGAGGCGACGACTACATACAAGTTCCCACTGGCAGAGCGCAAAGCGTAGGAGTAGATACCGCACTTTTTATAGGTTTGTGATACACATCTCATCTCTACGACTTCATCGTTCTATCTCAACAGTCAGCAATACATGTAGTGCTTCCTTCGTTTTCTGTGACAAAGATTTCGGAAGGGGGGTCAAACTCGGAACTGTCCCCATCTAGCAGCTTGGAATCGTCATCCAAGATAATTCTGGGCTTGATGGAAGTCTGACCCATTTGAAAGTTCACAAACTCGTCAATGAGCACTTTTCCTTCGGAAGATCCCTTGAGTTCCTTGACCATGGAATAGAGTTTATCAACTTCAGAGTCCCTCAAGTTTCCGCCCAAGTCTTTGCTACGCGATCTCTTCTGCGCTAGTTTCTGAAGATCGTTGGCGGAAGACGTCTTCTTATTGAGCTCCTCATCGGTTGAGATTTCTCTTCCTTTGTCGCTGAAAAGACGAACTAAATCATCGTGAGTAGAGCTCCTTTTGTGCGAATGGTCAGTAGAGGTCTTCTTGGGGGAGTGCTTGTCAGGAGATCGTCGTGGTGATTTGGATCTCTTCTTGGATGAGTGATGATGATGGTGCTGAATGTGATTGCGAGAAGACCTGCTTGGCCTTGTGGGTGACTTGGAAAAGCCCTTTCGTCTCTTTTCGCTTTTGGCTTTGGCCGTCTTGATGAAGTCAGTGATGGGCTTGCTGGCATCATCATTGACACCAGACATCAAGTCTGCTGTGAGTTTGGAGAATGGATTAGTCATGGCCTGGTATATTTTTTGTTTTGTTGCTTTGCATTATGAGACTGTCACTACATGTCCCTCCACCCCTCTCCTTCGGTTTGGTCTTGTGCTGTGGAATGTGGAAGGCCATGCATGTGCTCACTTACTAGTACTTAACCATCAACCGCGTCTTCCGTCAGGTTGATCGAGCTGTTGGTCGTGCGCTGAATGCCATGGGGAGTCCATGGGGTAACTCCATAAGTCAATTGATCGAAAAAGGGAGTAGAGGGCGTGTGCTGTGGCCAGGCCGATGCATGCTGCTCTCTGCTCTGTGTCATCAACCCCGCCTCCTTCGGGTTGGTTGAGCCACATGTTGGTCGTGTGCTGCGGAATTGCAGGAGTAACTTCATAAGTCAATAATTAATTGATCCAAAAAGTGAGGGTCGGCTGCTGAAACCTTGACGTCCAGGAAGATCCACGGCATCTATGATAATAAGGCCAAACAAATGTGCCATCGAAGAAGATAGATCCACTTTGAAGTTCGAAGAACAAAGAAGACCACCAAACCTTTTTCGGTCAGTTCTCATCAAGACAAAGACACAAGATCCCACGGCTCCTCAAGAATGGTTTCGAGGTTGTTGTGTTGTTGTGTTGTTGTTTGCAATTTGCAATCATCAACGGTAATAACAAGTACCGGTAACAAGCAACTATCATATAAAGCAACTACTCTACCTACCGGTATCTCTGTTAAAAAAGATTACAGTACCAACCATGTCGGCAGGAGCAGCTGTAGCCATGCCGCCGAGCGACTCCCGGTTTGAAGGCGAAGACAGCATTCACTTTGTGGACTCGCTCCAGGAAGAATTGGATTAGGTTATGGAACACATCTCCAAGAAGGTTCCCAAGGATATTCTAGACGTCTTTACCAAAAAAATCCATCAACATGCCGAAGAACACATCTTGGACAAGGCCTTGAAAACGGGCGATGTGGCGACAGATTTGGATTTTGACTTGCTGGATGCGCATGGCAACCACGTGAAATCCAGTGAATTGTTGGCCAAGGGACCCATCGTGGTGACATTTGTTCGGTACGTGTCTGCCTTGGATTCCAGTGCAGGGAGTGATCCCCTGCCATTTTTCTGCCCTTTTGCCATGTCTAACTAAGATATTTTCTTCCATTGGCATTGCATTCCATTGCAGAGGATCCTGGTGTGCCTTTTGCAATATGCAAGTACACGCTCTTCAAAATGTCATCAACGATATCCAATCCAAAAATGCCACCCTCGTGGTGATATCCCCACAATCTACCCAAAGTTCCATGAAAATGGTAGAACAAGGTGCCATGTTTCCTCTTTTGACGGACGTCGATTCCAAACTTGCCAAACAATTCAATGTGCACTACCAAGTCGATCCAGAACTCCACGACGCATTTCTCAATGTGGGCATCGATTTGGCACAAGTCAATCAAGATGGATTGCTCTCCCTTCCCGTTCCGGCGACCTTTGTGATCAGCCAGGAAAAGAAAATTTTGTATTCCTTTTTGGATGTCAATTATCGCCATCGAGCCGAACCTGCCGATATCTTGAATGCTTTGCCGGAACCGGTGACAAGGACTGGACGACGACGAGTCTATCGAAAGCGAGTCAAGCAAATAACAATGCTCAAATTGGATTGGGGAGATGGTGCTGCCACCTAGCCTAGCTAGCCCAGTTGAACCATCAATTTTAAACACAGCAATCATGTATCGTTATGCTCTACCGGTACTAGAAATACAGATAGACATGGAATGGCTAATTCGGTTCGCATCGATAGTGAGGAGGACAAGAGGCTGTAGCGAGAAGATGCGGACAACCTTGCACTTGTTGCAACTCCAAACACTCCTGGTAACTCTCATATGTGTGGCAGGCATCACCCGGTGGGACGCACTGGCTTTGGATGGATGGTGCATTGGGAGACTTGGCTTCGGCGCACTGGTATTGGGGAGGACAGCTCATGGAAGCCATGAGAGTTGTGCAGCCCATCTGGACCAAGCTCAGGCACTCATCGTAGCTTTCCTGTGTGTCGCAGCCATCACCAGGCCTCGCACACTGCTCTTCCATGCCTGGATTGACAACTGTTTCTGTTGGCTCTTTAGTCATGGCCGATTCCCCCGCACAAAAGTAGCGGGGTGGACACGATCTTGTGGATGCAATCAACTGACATCCTTGCATCTCGAGACTAGTGCATTGTTGATAGCTCTCCTGGGTATGGCAGCCTCCATCGGGTTCGAAACAAGCAGGCGTGCTTTGACGGGAAACTGCTCTTGTTGGGATGTCCTTGTGGTGCTGTTCAATGGCACTATTGGTGGCACTATCCATGTTGTGAAGGCTAGGTGGAGGTGGGTCCGTGCATTGAAAGCGAGCAGGACATCCAGTGGAGGAGATTCTTTCACACCCTTGTTGTTGCAAGAGCGAACACTGGCCGTAGGTCTCTTCATTGGAGCATGTGTCCCCTGGTATAGGTGGTAAGCATTGACTCACACTCTGCTCGATGGGGTTCTCAGGTGTTGAAAAATCAGAACAATGAAAGCTTGGAGGGCAGCTGGAAGTAGAAGTGATTTGGCTGCATCCTTGGGCTTCAATGGAACGACATTGGCTATAGCTCTCGAGTGTGTGGCATACGTTTCCAGACTGAGGCCGCATACCGAAGCAGTAGTCTTGGCACTGGAACTTTGGCTGACAGCTACCTGTTGACACAATGTTGCGGCAGCCTTCTTGCTGTAAGAGCCGGCATGCTCCGTAGTGCTCTTCAGTGTAGCACATGTCGCCTGGTATAGGAGGGGCACACTGTTGGATTGTTGCACTGAGGGACCTCAAGTTCCTTCGAGAAGTCAATTGAATCTTGTTTTGAATTAGCGGGACATCTTTGGCATTGTTTATTTCATGAAGACAAAAGACAAGGGATGATACAAGGAGGATCCCGCAAACACCAACAGCGAGGTGGTGGTGGATGATTGCTCTCGAGGATTGACTGCTCCTTTCCACGGGCTTAGTTGTGCCAGATGATTCCGTGATGACTTGAGTGGTTTCGTCGTTTGCTTGCATGATAATTGTTAGATTTGACAATGTTTGGCTCACCCTGTTGTCTCTTTGGGTCTTTGTTTGTTTCTTGCTTTGTGTGTTTTGACTTCCTGCGTTGTTTGTTTGTGAGCACAAAACCCGATGATGATCGAAGATAAAGGATCCAGAAGCAAATGCCTTCCGGAAAACGCCAGAACACCAACCACGGATAAAACTGTGAATGGAAAACAGAACTCCCGTCGTGACCTGTAAAACACGACCGAACGAAGAGGATCTCGACAGATCCTTTTTGATAAGAAGCAGATCCTTTTTTAGTGTGCATCCAGCAAGTGCTGTTTCTCGCGCTTTCGACGACAATCATGCTTGTCAATTCTCCAAATTAGAAGATAGCAAGGTACTTTGTACGCCAGTTTAGCAGGTAGTCGCAGTATCTTTACCATAGTTCAATTGGAGGGTTAATAAAGGTGTGGCTATTAGGGAACGACCCTCCAGCCAGGGACGAATGATCAATCGTATCCTTGGGAGGGTAGGACTGGCTAACCAGATGTGGTCAACAAGCATTCAAATTTAAAAGCGTGAATATTGATGTAGATAGCTACTGGCTAGCTATGCTGAAGGTACGGCTGTTGTAACTTCATAGCCCATCGTTTGCATTTCGGTTTTTGTCAAGTCCCAACCAGCAACATAACATCCTGCCTGGAACAAGTTCCATGCATATCCAATTTCCTCCTGTTCCGTTTTTGCCTCGATGGCCATCACGGCAACATCATTGTCCAACGGGAAATCCTTCATTTTCTCGAGTGTCTTCAAATGCCTGCCCAACAGAATAGCGTGCAAATACGCCTTGGCTTCTGTCTCAGGTGTGGCATCCTCTCGGAATATCACATTTACACAAAGCTTTCGTTTCGAGGCTGATATGACTCCTGCAGAGACCAAATAATCGTCCGTACCAAAAGCAGTGTCCAATAGTTCTGCCGGTGCCGTCTGTAGTGTTTCCGCAATCTCGGCACCCGATGCATGTCGGGACCTTTCGCAAAATTCATTGAAGGATTGTCCAAAGAAGATTGGTACAGATCTTTTGTGAATGGCATTTTGTCGTGGATAAAACCGCTTTGGCAAAAAGAACAAGGGTTCCATCTTTGACACCTTTGAGGGAGTTGAGAGTATGGGTGTCGCCGCTGCTGTGGAAGACACATTATCCGATGAAGATTGAGATTGAAGATCCCACCACTGGAGGAAATCTTGTAGTACAATGTTGAGTCGGACATTGTTGAGAGACTGAAAGTCAATCAATCTCATACACCGTATGTTTGCTACAATGTGCAGCAATGTCAGTGCCGAGTAGAGGATCCATAGTTTCCAAAGCTTCCAAGAGGCTACCGAGCGTGCAAAGAGTGCTGCAAATATGAGCCCCACCATTCCCGTGATTGTGTTTTGTGCTCCAAACTTGGCATTGATATCGGATATGTCGGACCCTTGTGCCCAGTGCAAATTGATGGATCCACCACAGGCACCCGCGGCGACGCCACAAATCGCCTTGCACATGTTACCCAGGCAAATCATGGGAAGAAACAAGTTGGGTGGTGTGGCCACGGCGGCAATTTCCAATGTAATACCGATATCCACGGCAATATCGGCCACCAATCGCCATCGTTTGACATCGGCTCGAAATCTGGAAGATGCCACCGAAGTGAACAAGAGTGTGGCAATCATACCACAGCCATCCCGTGCCAAGAAATTCATCAAGGCCGATAATGCCGTGGCTCCTTCTCGACCTACACCCACTCCTTCCAGTATCTTTTGAGTCGCCAATACGGATCGCAGCTGTGTGGACAAGTCCTGAATCCAAGACCAGATTGCATAATTCAAATATCCAGGTGGCGTTTTCAGAGGATACCCCGAGGGTAGAAATGTAGAACGTATAGCTGCCTGGAAGTTTTGACTACCTCTTTGTATCATACTGGCCAGTCCTTGGATACCAAATGACTTTTTGGTGTTATCTTTTCCAAGTATATCCTTGGTATTTGGGTAGACTTGGGAATGGCCACCATTTTTCTTTGTCGACACCACGGCAGTTTTCGGATACATGGTAGAATCATCTTGTGCGTTGAGTTTCCCCTTTGGATGGGATGGAATACTGGAGGTAGCCAAACATGACGCTTTCGTGGCCAGCACTAGGGACAAGATCAGTGCCCGACACCATCTCTTGGCATGTAATGGACTTGACATCATGTTGCACTGCCTCTTTGCTTCTTGATCAAATGCTCTTGGGTTGAGTGATGGGTTGTGATGTTGTGATGGGTGATTCAAGTGGCGATCATGATCTTTGGATGGCTTGAAAGAGGGCTGGTGTCTTTGACGGACAATTTTAAGCACTTCTACAGGCTTATATCTTATCAGTCAGCTCGGGAATGGACTACCAAACAAATGACGTGAGGGAAGAAAAGATGACTTCAACATCGCAAAAAGTGTCAAGGGCGAAAAACCGACCACACCAGTCAAATCTTTGTGAAAGAGGAAGGACAGGAGAGGGAACAAGAAGCAGAACCACCGACAATGAGGATGAGACGACTGCAACTGATGAGTAGGCGGAGGCACCCTTGGGCTGGACTGATGACTGGAGTCTTGGTAGTGGCGTTCATCTTGCTTGGCGCTTGCACCGAAGCATTTGTCAGCACCGGGTTTGCGTCTCGCCGCGTCGCTACTCCCAGCAGAAGCAACCTACTACTACTGGCTACGACACAAGAGGATCTGGCAAAGCTTCGAGTTGCAGACCTCAAGGACGAATGTCGAAAACATGGTTTGCTCGTCGGAGGCACCAAAGCGGTCCTCATCCAACGGCTGTTAGATAATACCGACGACAACGATGTTGCCCTTGTGGACGACGACGAACCTTCTGTGGAAGAATCTGCTACTACTGCAACTGATCCTGTTACTGAAACTGACTTGGCCAAACTCAAAGTGGCCGAGCTCAAGGCACAATGTAGAGAGCGTGGTCTCAAAGTGGGAGGAACCAAGGCAGTTCTTATCCAGCGACTGATCGATCACGACAAGAGCAATGACGACACAGCCATCTCAACAGAGCAAGAAACACAAGTGAAAGAATCAGTTGCAGAGCCAACAATGGTAGAAGAAGAAGAAGAACTGCTGCAAGAGCAACCCAAACCCAAGCCGACAAAGCCTAGACCGAAACAACAAGCCAAGAAGACAGAGGAGACTACCACTACCGAAAGCAAGGAGAGCCCGGAGACGAAAGTTGCGCCGACGTTTTTCTACGCAGCAAAAGTATCACCACAAGAACAAGAGTTGGAGGACGCTCTTGCAGCAAAAGAAGAGGAACAAACCGATCCTGTAAGGAAAGCCAAGCGATCTTCTGCCCCCATAGTAGATGAGGAAAAGAAAGCGAAAGTTGCCAATTTCTTTGGAGGTGTTTTTGGTCTGGTGGGGGAGTTGACCGCTGCTGCCGTTTCCAAAGGAACTGAAGTTGCTCTGGAACAGATAGAGCAAAGCAAAAAAGAGATGGATCTCAATCAGGTGCGGAATCAACTACGGCAAGCAGAGCAAGAACGACAGCTGCAAGAGCGACTCAAGGAGCAGCAAGAACAACAAGAGCAAAAGCGACGAGAGGCACAGCTCAGGGCAGAAGAACTAGAGAAGAAGAAAAAAGAGTGGCAACAGAAAGAAGAAGCTCTCCGACGTCAAGTAGAGGCCGAGAGACAAAAACGACAAGCAAAACAGGAAGCTGAACGTCGGAAGAGACAAGAACAAATGGAAGCAGAAGCCATTGCACTAGCAAAGCAAGAAATGGAAGCTCAAGCTGCACTGGCGGCCAAACAGGAAGCTGAACGCCGAAACAAACAAGAACAAATAGTGGAAGCAGAAGCCAGTGCACTGGCAAAGCAAGAAATGGAAGCTCAACAAGCTGCACTGGTGGCCA